AAAGAGGGAAACTAACATTCTTTCCATTCTTAGAAAAAAGACCAAAATACATAGACATTCTTTTAAGAGCAGCGACAACCAAAGAGTGGGACCCTAAATACATAGAAAATAAGAGAAGAGGTTGTATTAAGAATAGACGAGAACAGAGCAAAACAAAGGTGAAAAAATTAAAAAAGATTAGAAGATATCTAATAGCTTTACTACCAACCTCCACTCTTGAGTGATGTTCATCGTATAAAGTTTGTTTCCCTTTAATTTGTCTATTTAGTCAACTCTTATTCTGAGATTTTTTATGTTACCTAATTATGAATATGTGAACAATTTCTTTTATTGAATTAATAAACTAGTTATTGAATGTTTCATTCTATGATTAAAGCTTGTGTGTGTTTGACCAACATTTGTATGATTTGAGATTTAACTTGAGACTGAGAAGTAATAATTATTTTAGCCATTGTTTGAAATACCTTAAGGAATTTATAGGATAAAGATATTTTTAGAACTATTGTAATCTTTAGAGGTTTTAAGGTACTTTATAAATTTTGACAAGTTCAGAAATTTCATAGAGTATATGAAGTTTGCTTGTCGAAATACTTTATTGATGCTCGAGCGAAATTAGTGTTTAAATTAAAAAAAACTTGAATATCAACACTAAGAATAATTAATTCAATTGATAAAATTCACATAGAAATAGTTACAATAAGTTAGAAATCTTAGAATCTATTCGAATTGAGTTCAATACTATTAAGTAGTTGGTTGTTTGCTTTTAATAATTGATTTTTATTTCATAAACCTTCTCACTTGATTCCTCAAATAGATCAAAATTTAAAAGATTTTAGTAGTTAGTAGTAATTTTTACAAATCCTTATGGGAAAATACTCAATTCATCATTTTATTACTTGTAACGATTCATGCACTTATAAAATTCATCAACATTGTGACTTTGCCAGAAGGAAAGAAACTTGTTGGATGTAAATAGGTATTCACTATAAACATAAACCAAATGACACTATTAATCAATATAAAGTGATTAGTACTTAAAAGTGCATTTTTATCATGGTTTTAAATCATCATTTTGCACTTGAAGTATCAATAACTCCTTAACTAAAGCATGTTTTATAATAATATATCTAATAATATAAGATACCTTTAATTTGTGGTAAATGTTCATTTTAAATGCAGGCCTATCACATAAATGAAAGGATTGATTGATGACTTTAAGAACTTAAATTGCAAGGGCAAAGAGATGACCAAAATTAGAAAAAAGATGTCGGTGCAATCCAAACCGGAACACTATTCGGTAATTAGGTCATATCTGGAGCTATAGATCTCATATTTAGGTCTACTTTATATGGATGGAAAGGTAAGACATAGGCCTACAACTTTCATATGGAGCTCAAGATCTAAAAAGGTCATTTTCAAGTCCAAATTATTGCAACAACAGAGAAGCCCGAAGTTGTCCTCCAGCCTGAGCACTGTTTAGTATTTTGGCCATATCTGGAGTTCTAGAAGTCCAAATGAGCTGAAGGTTTTACACAAGAAAGGTAAGACAATTACCTACAACTTTCATGTTTTTGAGTGGCTCCAAGTTTGACCTTATCAATGACGTTGTGGGCAGACAAGAAAAGATAAAGATTATCACCAAGTCAAGAGTTGGCTACCCACTCATCAATTAGTCATCACATCAATAGTTCCCAATTTTGGCCTATAAAAGGAGGCATTTGCCATGCATTTAGGCATCTTGGTCTCCAGATCAAGATCATGCTCTTGCTTTCTCTCTTTGTATTTTTTGTAATGTTTATGCTTGGCTTTCATTAATATCAAGTTTATGCCTTTCATTTCCTTTCATTTACTTAGTTAACTTTATCTTATTTATGTTCTTATTTTATTTATTTATTTTTCTTTCTTTCATTATGTCTAGCTAAGTTTATTATGTCAAGGTGAAAAGGTTACACTAATGGTGTAAGAATAAGTATAATGTAAACTTACTATGGACTTTAATGTTTGATACTAGCATGTTTTATATTTGTTATCTTGTTCACTCTTTAATACTTTACTTGTTAAATGACTAATCTTGATTTATGTTATATAACACTTGGTACAACAAATGCTTGACACTTTCATAGTTCATACTGTATGGTATAACCGACACCTGAGCTATGAAAGGAACTTGATTTGTTGTTAACATAAGTTATAATGATGAATGCTTGACGAGATTTACAAGTATTAGCATTAATCGAATAAGATGACTAATGTAATCATGTTAACAATCTATAATCTGATTGGAACCTCCTTTATGTGTGGTTTTCAATTGAATAATAAGAGTTTATATTATACTTGTTTGACATACCATTAGTGGAATCTCTAACCTTGATATTTTTTATTATCATTGTTTAATCATTACATTAATATTTCTTCTCAAAGTTCTCATCTTCTTCTCCTTCTTTTTCTTTATTATTATTATTATTGTTGTTGTTGTTGTTGTTGTTGTTGTTGTTGTTGTTGTTATTGTTATTATAATTGTTATTATTGTTGTATTATTGTTATTTATAATTTATACAATTAACCTCCCTGTGGTTCGACCCCGGTCTTGTCGGGTTATTTATTACTTCGACACTCCTGCACTTGGGAGAAGACATCAATCTTTTAGTCATGTCATAAAGCAATGTTAATTGGTTATGATTATACACAAACTTATTATATTGATTATCAAAAGACTTTTACACATGTTATAAAGTTAAATATTGTTCGAGTTTTATTATGTATTACCGCAAACTTTAATTGGCCATTACAACATAATGATGCAAAAAAAATAAAAATTGCATGGAGATTTATCTTAAGAAATCTATATGGAAATGCCATCTGGGTACAATGTGTAAACCCCAAAAAAAGAAAAAACAATACACACACACACACACATATATAACCATAGTCATTCTTGGCTTTTCTACTTCCATAATGACATGAACACTACAAACCTCTGTTTGTATGCCAAAACGTTTATATATTTTGATGCGAATATATAGTCTTCTGTTGAAAAATTTCTCTTCAAAATTTCTCTCTTCCGTTTTGTAGATAATTGAAAACAGAATCAAATAAATATATAAAATAAACATCAAATAAATATTTAAATTATAAACAGATTTTTGATGCGAATGAACAAAGCAAGACCAACAATGTCAGAATCCTTGATCAAACACAGAGCGTACTTAACATACATAAAATATAACAAAAATGTAAATAATAAAATAGAATCTTACATAAATTTGTAATGTAAATTAATATAAGAGATATTGGATACAGAGGAGAGTGGAAAAAGGTTACAGGTATGAGTTATAAGAGAGAATAAAATTTCTCAGGGAAAATGATAGTCTGCCTTGTAAAGATTGAGGAGTCCCCTTTTATAGACGAGTTGACATGGAAGAGGCCAAAATATCTTATTGGAGATTCCATCAGAACCCATGTGGTATTGTCTACCATGATTGGGTGATGAGAAAATGGAAAAAGCCCACGTTTTTTGTGGAACTTTCATTTGTTGTCTTCTTACCATCAACATTAGATTTGTTTGTTTGTAGTAGTAGGTAATATTTATAAAAAAAAGTTCAAAATAAAGAGACTTAAAATAAAAATGGACTCAAAACAAGTGAGTCAAAAAGATATGGATTTAAACAGATGAGCCTGAAAAAGCTTGAAAAATACTCTCTTTTTTTTAGTGTCGCTTGATAGGTGGTAAAATACCAAAACAGTCATCTTTATTATCATTTCCAAGGGAAATGGCAAGAGATATCAATTTGGATGAGCTGGATTGGGACAAGACCGTTTTTAGGTCTTGGCTTTGTATAATGCTTTGTATGATTTGTAGGTTTTCTTCTTCAGTTCTAGCAGAGGCAAGGAGAGCTGTCGTTTGAGCCTTTCTGGCTAGAAACTTTGAATGAGGATGATGATCAATGATGGGAGCTGTCTGATGTTTTTGTTACCATTCCATAACAGCTAATTTGGAACTTTTAGATTTAGCTGCAAAGAAATTCCACCATTTGATTTTGAATTGACGAACAAGAACTAGATGTTCGTTTTGTAGATTATAATAAGAGAAATATATAAAATAGATCTGGGTAGGATTAGTAAACCTTGAGGAAATATATAAATGGGTAGGATTTATATGGCCAACATAAATCCAAGAAAACCAAACAAATTTTTTTAAAGCCATCAAAACACATTTATAACACCTTGACAATTCATCTTTAACTATCCCAGACACACACACAAACAACCAACCTTTCCACTTCCACAAACCAAGTCAATACTCTACTTACAAAACCCTGAGGATTCTTCTGATGATGGTACTTCTCCCAAAAAGCTAATTACCCTAAACAAACTTACTTGGCAAACTCCCAAAACATCTATTGTCCCAGACATCTCCATAACCATTAAACCAATTATCCTTACTCAACACAAATATAATGCCTCTTTCCTCTTTTTGGTTTTCTTGGATTTGTGTTTGGCCTGTTTTTGTAATTTCGTAAGATTTGAAGACTGAGTTTTTGAGTTTTAGGTCAGTTGAGGTTGCTGAACTTGTAGTTTTTCTTTGTATTTTTGTTTTTCTAGCCATGTAAGCTGATTTCCCAAGATATTAAGGTTAGTGTTTATAAAATTATTTTGGTTAATGATGTGTTTTGTTTTGGCTAATATTCTCAAGGTTGTTGCTAGTCAAACCTGCTTGAGGGGAAGTGTTGGGAGCGGGTTTTCCTTATTTAGTTTTCTTGTAAGAATCGGGATTGATGTAAACCAACTATTTCCTATTTAGAATTTCCTGTTGTTGTATATATAGAATAATAAGTAAGACACTTTTTACCCTAACTTAAGTAATACTAGTGGCAACAACAACTATGTAACAGTATCACTACCAAATCTCATGTCATCTTATAATTTGAAAGCCACTAACATGTGAAAATCTACAAATTAAACTTGTAAAGATTCTGCAACTATGAAGATCACACATTTGATTATTGTCTTTGGTTCTCTAATTGTTGTATGTTTCTTTCTTGACCGGCAAACCATTGTATTGTTCGCCGTGCTATTGGCAGCCAAAGCTTTCTGATTCTCTCATCTGTTGCACCATTCCCAGGGGATGTAGATTCTTTTGTTTTGTTCCTCACACTTAGCTGTCTGAACCTTGAAAAAATCGTGATCTCAGACATTGATCTCTTCGATGCAGAATTAATAATTTTTGATGAGTTTAATCTTGAACTTGAAACAGAATTACTTCTGTCGACTGTAGTAAACTTGGATTCGAACAATCTCTTCCTTTCTATATCCTCCTTTATATTTTCAAAATTTTCATTCCTGGACAAGCCATTGTAGAATCTTATACTACTTGATTTCAAAGGAGAAAATCTGTTGCTTGACATGACTCTAAGCATCTCAGTGTTCAAGGACAAAAAATCTGAAGAATTAACATCGCTCCATCGATTCTTGATAAGAACATCCGAAATAATGATCTTGTGCTTGAATTTATGCAAGAGTTTCCTGTTATCGTCAGCATTTCTACCTGCTATAATCAGCAACTCTTCCTTTCTGTCTTTGTGATTGCTAATTTGGATGCTGCTTCTAGGGTTAAACCATAATGAACCTTGATGATCTTGCTCTCTTTCAACAAAGATCTCAAGATTAGGATCCTCTGTTAGATCTGAAGGATTTCGCAAGTATCTCCAACTTTTTGAGCAAGAGAAGGTCTTGAGATCCATCGGATCTAACTTGTATCTGCAAAGAGGACAGCTAGAGTGACTTGTTAGCCATTGGTCGATGCAATTCTTGTGAAATGCATGCATGCACTTAGGCAACAGTCTGAGGACCTCAGAATCCTCAAATTTTGATATGCAAACTGCACATTCCAGGCCTTCTTTTGAGCCTTTGAGTGAAGAAAACCTGAAAAAAGGCAGGGAGTTAATCATTTCTTCATCGATCCCTGAAAATTTAGACCGTGATCGAATAAGTCCATGAACATTTTGGTGATGGCCGGGATTACTGCCTAAGAAATTATTTTGGTTTATCCTGCAGTATTTTGCGTAGGCAAGTATAAGAAACGTTATCGACAGCATGATCGAGATGATCCCAAGGACTACTGCAAGGCTTGGATGGAGAGGTTTGAGGATACCTGTATCCGAATCAGAAGTGATTTGGGCTTTGACATGGAAGAACAAGCTAAGAATTATGATGAGATGTAATTGATTCATAGAGATAGCCATACTGAATGTTGTCACAGTTTCTTTAAGTAATTCCTATGCTTCTATAATGGCATTCTGCAAGGAAAACTTTTTGTTGCGAAAGAATCTATTAAACTCCAAAAGCATAAGATTCCTTTTTTTTCCTATTTTATCATGATGGATTTGTTCTTCTGATGTGTAATTATGGTTTGTCGATTAAGGCTGTCTTCGAGTGCGTATTTGATAGACTAGTTTCTATAGTTTATGTCAAAAATGTCGTGACTCAAGGCAAAATGTAATTTAGAATTGGTTCCTTGTCCTATAAGGGTAAGGCGGCCTCCATATGGACCTCATGACTCGAACTTCTCTTATGGTCGCATTACAAAACTCAGTTTATGGGTTTTAATATTAAGAAAACAATCATTGTTTAAGGCAACTTGAACGCTAGTGAAGCGGAAACAAAATTTGTCAATACGCCGGGAGAGGTTGGGAAGAACTAACCATATTTCCATGCCTTCACATTGCTATTGACAGGCTTTGCAGGCCGAAATTGAATAACAATACTTTTTCCTTTTGCTTCCCATTTAAGTCCCCGTCTGATGACAATTGAAACTAAACTTTGTAAGAGAGATTAGTTATTTGCTTGCTATAAGAAATTGTAAAGCAATCTCAAGATTGCATTTGAGAATATGTACTACATTATTAAATAGTTTTACCGACAGACTAATTCTGTCAGTGAAATAATTACCGATGGTCTCACCGACAGAATACATAAGTCAGTATAATAGTCGTCGATAACTCTCATTTCCATCACTAATTCTGTTGCAAATAGAAAAACACCCACCAACGGTCTTACAGACGGATACGCGCACGCCCAAAAAATAGTTTCCTACGGGAACTTTACCGACGGAATAAATCCGTCTGCAATTTCAACGGTAATTATGGCATGGCTAGTAATTGTTTGGCAACTCTCTGTGAAATACTAACAGATAATGTTCGTCGATGTTTCCGTCGGTATGTATTTGAAATATATATAAAAATAATTTATTAATAGTAAAAAACCTTAATAAACAAATAAAATTGGATTAAACATTAAAAATATAAAAGTAATGTTAAATAATATTCATCATAAATTTAATGTGTATAAAAAACAAAATTAAACTAGAATAGCGGAGGAGCTGGAGGAGGCTGGTTGTTCCCGGGACCATACGGCCAAAAAGGAGCTGCATAAGTATTGTCACCCATCTTTGATTTTATCTCCATGACTATTTGATGGAGCTCATCATAATTCGTCAAGATTTGTTGATATTGTTGTTTCAAGGCAATAAACTCTTCAGACTGGGTGTTCGATACTGATGAAGAGCTTTCAACGGTTGAGACACTACGAGCCGAACACAAGTTTTCAGCTGTAGTGTTGGAAAGCCCATAGACTCGATTTTTATCGGGTCCTCTAAACAATCTCACCTCCATCCACAAATTTGAATCAAAATTTGGATGGGTCGAAGGATGGTCCCCGTATCTCTCCCTCAACTAGCTATTATAGGTGACACGACGAAAAGATTGATGTCTTCTCCCAAGTGCAGGAGTGTCGAAGTAATAAATAACCCAGCAAGACCGAGGTCGAACCACAAGGAGGTTAATTGTACAAATTATAAACAACAATTATAAATAACAACAATAGTAACAATAACGACAACAATAATAATAGTAGCAATAATAATACTAATAATACTAGTAGTAGTAGTAGTAGTAATAGTAATAATAATAATAATAATAATAATAATAATAATTATTATTATTATTATTAGTACTACTACTACTATTATTATTATTATTATTATTATTATTATTATTATTACTATTGTTGTTGTTGTTATTGTTGTTTTATAATTGTTGTTTATAATTTGTACAATTAACCTCCCTGTGGTTCGACCCTGGTCTTGCCGGGTTATTTATTACTTCGACACTCCTGCACTTGGGAGAAGATATCAATCTTTTAGTCGTGTCACTTAAGTACTTGCAAAAACAGTCTCAATCAGGGGGTGCTTAAAGACCATTTGATAATAAAATCGATATCTTTATAGGAAAGACAATAAATGACTTCAAAGAGCCTTAAATTCAAGGAACAAAGATGTTTGTTCTTTAGTTTAGTTTGGTTAATGCTTTAAAATATATATAAGTTTTTCTTAAGTGATGAAAGTTTTAAACCCTTACTTAGATGGTTCATGAGGTATTTATATCCCTTGAACTTTGTCTTTTTAAGAGAAGGAGAGGAGTGAAAAGTCCTTTGTTTTTGGTGGAATTAATAAGGGATAAATATATCTTATATATTATTAATAAGATAGTAAGTATGGTAGGTCCCTCAAGAGACCTTTTGTACACTTATAAGTCTAAGAAAATCATTACCTTAGATATGAATGACTCATATAATTGTTCTAGATGAAGAAGTATGGTGGTTTATCATGCTCACAATACTTTTAATCTAGGAGATAATTTAAGGTTCGGCATATAATTGGAGAACCCGATAGTCTTTGAATCTAAGTGTTTTGGGTCTGACATGTTTTACAAGACCTATATTTGCCTGAGGTTTGACTGATTGTCAAACCAAAGTATCTTGGGCCTCGTACATTCACCAAACTCATATTATCTTGAGTTTGGTTAATTTTCAAATCGAAGTGTTTTGCATCTAACATCTTTTTTAGACCCATATTATCTTAGATTTAGTTATCAATCAAATCCAAGTATTTTAGATCAAATATATTTATAGACTCATTGTTTTTTTTTTAAAAAAATTTAATTTATGAAAATTAAAATTAAAATTAAAATTACTAACTTATTAGATAATATATATGTATCTTTATAAAATAGGTCAGGAAAAGACATATAAATAGTGGGTACTAACTGAGATAGGATAAAATCTGCTAAGAAAAATGACATGGCTACTTTATGATGTAATGAATCTTAGTATGTTGTTTCTTTCACAACGCCCCCCACCCATTCCCTCCTTTTTCTTCTCCCAACCACAAATAGTGCGCGTACTATAATTTCATTATTGAACATTGACATAAAAGAATAATAAAAAACCCATGTGCGGATATTGAAATGCATTACTAATTAACCAATGACATAGAATATGCATGATTTCAAAAACCCATCATTAATATATTCCATTGATGATATATGATATTGTCCCGCAATTATAGTTGTGGAAGTGTCTCGACATCATTCTTTTCTTTTGGTTCAATGGTTATAGCTACTTTTGATTAGATTGCACGTCGTTAAAATGATTTCTTCTCTTGCCAATGATATAAAATAGATGAAAAAGAGGACTTAATCAATTCACTTATACTTGCTATGACATAAAATGTGCATGATTTCAAAACACTAGCATATTTCATTGATGGTATACAATACCGTCCTGCACCATGATCGATTGTGGAAGTGTCTCAAACCAAATTCCTTTTCTTTTGGTTCATTGCTTATAGCTACTTTTGATTAGATTGCACATGATCAAGATAAACCCTTCTATTTTCAATCTTCAATTCTTGTTTATTTCATGTATTAAAAAGAACAAATTCTCTTAAAATACTAGTTATGAAATTTAAACAAAAAATAATATTGAAAAGACAATCAATTTAAGAGGTTTTATTACTCAATTTGATTCATAATAAATTTAACAAACATGTTAACAAAAAATAAATAAATAAACATGTTATTGCAGAGAGAACTTGCAACGATGTCTCTCCATCATCTTCCCATTGAAAGGTTGTAAAGTCGATGAACTATAACTAAACTGTTCATTTGCGGAAATTCATTGCATCAACGATCATGAGCATGTTGGCAAACATGAGGAATGATGTCATTTGGGACGTATTTGGGACCACAAGTGAAAACCTTCAAAGTTTCAATTCGTCAAAGTTTGGAGTACAATTGTCAACCAGAAAAACTTCAAAGTCATTCCCTGAATGATTAAAGTAAAAAAAAAGAGTAAAATTAAACAGAGTTAACAGAAAGTTTGAGAAGTACTGTTTCAGTGCGATAAAAAAAAAGTGAGAGAAAGAAAAAGAAAAGAAAGTACTAGTTTAGTTGGGCTACAATAATGACTTAGAATTAAGATATAGGTTCTCCTTGTTCTTGTTTCCATTCCATGAACAAAACCTGTTACATATTCTTAAAAAAGCTCTACTATATACATATGGATACACTCCACATCTAGGGATAGGCGGCTGCTTCCACGAACTAAATCACTTGGAAGAGCTTATTAATTTGATGTCTCTAATGAATCACACACTTATATATAAATTGAAAAATATAAATAATAAGATTCGAATCAGGAATTTCTCTCTCTAGTTGACTCTTTGCCATACTATTTCAAGCTAAGCTATTAGCTTAATTGATAATAAAAAGCTCTTATATAAGTACTTTTAATTAACTATACCATGTTAAAAAAAGAAAAGAATAAATCTTACGTTAAATTGATAAATATTATGAATAAGGAATAATAACAATAAATATTAGTTAAGAAAATTTATAACATTCAAGCTATAATAACCAAAACTTACTTAATAGAAAGATAAACATAAAAAGAAAGGAGAAACTTGAGAAAGAAAATTAAAAATAATATTTTAAAAAATAAAAATATTATTATCACTAGTAAGACATCTATTTTCATTGTTATTATCAAATCTATTTAAATCACAAAAATAAAAGGGAAAAAAACTCTCACCTTTTATTCTTTCATTAACTCTCTTCTCTTGTTTTCATGTTAAATTCTTATATTCTTGGTTGGAGCTTTAAGCTCTTGTTTTCATCTTCTTTTACATGGTTTAGTTCTTTCTTTTTCTAATCATGGCACCAAAGCTCTTAAAAACATGCAAATCATGACTATGGTCTAAGGTTAAAAGTTAAAATTATTAAGTATTAGATTTCCAATTTTGGCATGAATCTCATAATTATTTTGCCACACAACCCACCACAAATCTTAAAAAATCAAAATAGATTTGATAGAAATATAACACTATAAAAACTAT